GGAGTCTCAAACTTTGGAGAGACTCAGAAGCCATCTGGACATAGTCCTGGGCAACTGGCTCTGGTGGCCCTGCTTGAGCAGGGGGGTTGGACAAAAGGATCTCCAGAGGTCCCTTCCAACCTCAACCATTCTGTGATTAGAAGGTCACAACCTGTCCCTTAAGATCTCTACCATAGCAATTTCAATGCCTTGTTGCCTTGCAACATGAGCCAACGTGTTCCTTGCAAACATCAGTTCAAGCTAATCCAGAAGCTGCAGCAAATGCAGTAACTCTGTTGCTTGTTTAGCAATGATTCTTGATGAGAGCTTGTTGCGCACCTTCTTGAGGGTCTGCACGAGACAGTGCTCAAGGTACAGACCAAGGTACTAACTTCAAGTAGTGATATTTAAATAACTTGGAGCCTGGAGACTTAAGAAACAACTCTTCTCTTCGTGTTGCGGTACAATGACTGCATGAAACTGGATGCTGCACGTCGCCAAGCCACAGTGTGTGCTCAGGAGGCAGCAGTTCTTAGAGAAGGTTCTTATCCTTGCTTTCCAGGGCACAAATGTAACACATCCTCAAGTCATATGGCAGAGCATTTTTTTTTTTCTTCTAATAGGCCTATTTTGGGAAAATGGGCTAGAGAGTCCTAGATTAGCTTTAGTATTTTGGACACTAGTCCTACTTTTGTGCATGCACCCAGATGAATTTATCTTTAAGTTTTGATACAAATGCAGTACCTGGAGTTTTAAAAGCACTGGGTAAACAACAGCCTGTCTGAACATCTCCCAAGAATAAAGGACTCCAAGCTGGCAAAGGAAGGCTTAACAGGAGCTACTGTCTGGAATCTGAAGCCAGACACATTCAAAGCAGAAATCAAGTACAAATTTGTAATGGAGGGGGTGATTAACCACTGGGATGAACTAGAATGGATGGCTCCTTAGTTTCTTGCTGTTTGTGAGGCAAGATGTCTTCTGGACATAAGTTAAGCCAGGTAATGTTTTATGCCGACCTCAGTGTAGAGAAGGTGAAGCAGATGAAATGCAACAGCCCATGTTTATAGACACGTGCATAGGCACACATGCACACACACACGCACAGAGTCCAGCCAGAAGACCTGATGATTCCTATAGACCTTAAGCTGTACGTTTACTTAATTTTTTGAATTTTGAGGTTTTTTGTTACTTCTAAGAGAGGATTGGTTTTTAATTATGCATGGGGTTGGGAATCTGCCTTTATTTGAATTCAGCAGTGGTAGAATTTCATTCTTTGAGCTGAATTTGCACGTTTTCTTCACCATCCAATGCACCAGGTTTATCAGCAAGCTGAAACTTGGTTCTTCAGCATTTCAGTAGCTGGTTTGGTAATAGTTCTATGGTAGTAGTGCCAAGAATTTAGCCCCTGTGTTCATGTTTTACTTTTGACAAAATCGTGATGTTTCTCTTCCCCAATGACAAAAGCTTTTAATTTGTTTTTTGTAAAGCCCTTTTTAAGAACTGACCAAGGAAGGTGTTAGTGAAATACAAAGTGGTGGCATTATTTTTTACTATATGACTCACAAATTAAAAGGGAAAATTAATTTCTCTTCCAAATAAGTGATATCAGCCTCATTTTTACCAAGTTACTTCCTTCTTGCCTCTGCAGGGTGTTGTGGATCAGGGTGAACTATACTTCAAAACATTTAATTGCATACAGTGAGAAATGAAGAAAACTGAAGTGGATCCCAAGAATGTATTAAAAATCTCAACTAAAATGAGAATGATTTCATGTCAAGTGAGACAAATGCAGAGTTGATACTCCAGTGCTTCACACTTCCACTTGTCCTTGGTACTGAGAAAATGAGATTTTTAATACCTGAAAAACAGATTGCCATGAAGACTCATTCATTGTAAATTTAAGCTGCCTTTATAGCAACTTAAGCTGGGAACAAGATTGTTCATTACATCTGATTCTACAACTGTGGCTATGATTTCCATATTAATGTTGAATTTTTTTTATTGTCTGTACCAGAAATAGGAAGGAGAGCTGGTCGTGTTTTCCCTGTGTTAGTAGATAATTTGTTTAATGAATAATGTGAAAAGGGCAAAGGTTTGCGACTTCTTACTTGCCTATCAACTATAGATTGTGGTGACACCTGCTTTTGCTGCTGTGATCAAACCTGGTTTGCTGCTTCGGTTTATGCTAAAAGTAGACTGAGGGTAAGAGGGGAATTGATTCATGATTTCAGAATCATGGTTTGTTGGTAGTGGAAGTTACATTGTTCGGGGCTGAACTTTTTTGGCTAAAATTATAGGTGAGGGGTTGCTTGTTTCCTGTCTGATGCGCCCTTAAATTACAAAAACATTTAAGCAACCTTTACATATGTGTGGGGGCAGGGAAGGTATTTCTGTGCCACTGAACTTTAGACGAAGGTTGAGTCAAAGACTATTTGTAACCCTTTTCAATAGCAGCCATTCTGTTCTGGCATCAGACGTAGGAAGCACTAGCCTCCTCTCCTCTCCAAATGCAGTGTAACTGCATTTGCCTTCACAAGTCCAGCTACCAAGGCAAACCTGAGGATTCCCCGACCTGCCATACTGCTTGTCTCTGTCTGTGACAGTTTGCGATTGCATTCAAACTGTAATACTACTGCCTCAACTTTTAACATACAAAAATTGAGAATTCCTCTTGCTTTCTCATGAACTCTCTCCTGTTTATTTCTGCTGAAATGCTATCATCCTCTGTCTGCACTCACAGATCTGGAGTCTCTTGGAAAAGTTCCTTCTTCCTCCTCTGTTCACATCCCAAATTTGGGCTAGATCCTAATGGCTCTTCATTTATAACATCTGAGGTCTGTACCATTTTTTTCTCTTCCATTAGTATCACTAATATCATTGTCCTCCCTTTGTCATCTCACACCTGAGTTACTGCAGCCTTTTCTTTGGCTCCCTATCTCATCTCCTCATGTTCCAGTTTTAATACTGTGTTTCATGATGATGGAAGGTGATCTTTTCTTTCCTTTGTGGGTTTTGTTCTTTGCTTCTTCCACACTCATCACCCTGGAAGCAAATCTTTCTCTGAGGAATCCAGTTCCCTATCATTAGCCTCTCTGACCTTCAGAAAGTTTGTATATATTTAAGTCTAATTTGTTCCTCTTTGGAAAACAAAACAGCTCTCTGTATTAAACTCAAAATTTGGCAATAAGTCAACAGCATGATCTCATATTTTTTGCGACTGCTTCAGGGAAAATGTTTTAAGTGCAGTTAAGATATTTAACAGAGAAGTGTTTTGGTGTGGAACTATCTTTAAAAGGTTTGGGGTGGCTGACTGCAAGGGACCTGTGTGCTTGTCTTTTCCATCCATCAGTACTTTGGTGTCATGATGTCTCTCCCAGGCCACAGTACATGATCTGTGGTCTGCTGGGACCACTCATCTTGTCTGTGACCTTGCTCTTGGCAACTTCCTTTCCTGAAGAGGAAGAAGGCAAGTCGAGACCTAGATGTGGGCCAAATAAATTGTTTTGGAAATGGCAGCAGCCAGCTCTCAGCAGCTCCCTCCCCGAAAACACCTAATGCTTTCCTTTGCCACATCTGGGTGGGAGCAGTCATATGGGGGCAGGCTTAAAACCCCTGGGAAAGTTGGTGGCCAGAAGCTGACTGCTGCTACTTCTGGAAAAGCTCATTCAGCCAGCCTTTTGCAATGAGAGTTCCTAAGTTTTTTCACGAAGGGAAAAAAAGAAAAAAGCCACATAAATGATGGTATAGTCTGCATATGCCCAGTGGACTCCATCTGGCATAGGTGTAGTTCTTCACCAAAGCCTATAACAAGTGTGATGGGGGAAGAGTCATGCTATAGCTTCTGTATCACTCTTAACCACTGAGAAGAGCCAAGATGTGACCGTCCACAAGGCTTGTTTGCTAATATTACAGACATCTCTTTATGGAGCAGAGTAAATCACCCCATGCAAATTCCTGTGCTACTTGTTTTCTATTGCAGCTCCCATACGCACGTAGCCTGAAGTGTAAATGTTCTCTCTAGTTCTTTCTGCATCTGCCTGGATATAATATCCTGCCTTTCTCTTTCCCGTTGGTTAGTAGTTTGACTTTTGAAGCACTTTCAGTCCATGTTCGTTTGTGGAGAGAGACATCAGCAGTGATAGCTAAAGAAAATTCTATTAGGTCATTCCTTTTCAGAACATAGTACCTGTCTTCTAAGCTCTTTGCGGATGTTAGCCAAATAATCCTTTTAATAGCTTTTGTGAGTTAAAAGGGTAGGTAACTGTCATAAGGCTAAATGATTGCATAGATGAATTTACTTGTGGCCAAAAGAAATCAATTGTAATTTAAAATTTTTGCCTCTGGACTGACTATACTACCAGACATCAACTTTTTCCTTAGGAATCTACCATGTGCATTATAGTATATGTCTGTGATTATATATAGGTCTGGATTAGTTACAGATTATCCAGAGTACTGTGATTGAACATTTCCAGTTTTTAACCTATGGGTGTGCACAAGCTCAGAATACTCAGCTGGTTGGCCTTGTTTAGATCTGTAAAGTATCCATTTATAACTTCAGTCGTTATAATTCGTAGGCTGTTTGGATGTAAAAGATTATTTACCAGACTTTAAGACCATGGGTCCATTGCAAACCATGTCAAAGCTCCCACGGAAGGCAAAGGGAAGAAAGAGGGTGAGGCTTTAACGATCCATTTAAAAAATAAAAACTGAAAGATGATATAAGAAAATTCAGTGGTTCCAGGGAGCATTTTGCTTAACTATGGTTATATTTAGTGATTGATATACACTCTACTGCCTTTTAACAGAGGGATGGATTGGGTGCTTGAGAAGGATCCTGAAGGGGCCTGTCTTTGTTTTTTTTAACGAGAAGTGATTTGGCGCTACTGCCTAGTGAAACTGCCGTAAGGTTGCCCTCTGTAAGCCAGTTGTATAATTGTATGCCAGATAACAAGAAGTCAGAATGTATTTGCCTTTCAGAGAAATCTCTAATGTTTTTCTATATTTTAATTGTGTCTTACAGAATGGTGAATAACACTGAAGACCCTCGAGAGGCTTTATAACGTCCCATCCCCATGTAAAGTATGCTCAGAACTTTTCCAGTAGTGTAAGTACAAGCTAAAAAAACCCACAAAAATTAAGAGTTGTTTGGTGTTTTTTTTCTGTTAATTTATCTAAAAAGAGCAGAGAAATGGTTACAATGATTATCAGCAGCTGGCTAAATTGGAGAGTTCCACTGATTTGGTATTTGCTAGACATTTAGACCAGGGAACAGTAGCATTTAATTCCTCACTTGGTCTTGCTGATAATGTTGTTTCTACTTGTACTTTTCTGTCACTGAAAAAGAAGGAAAATCATGCAGTTCTTAGAAAAGGTAGTGTTAAAAAGAGAGATCTCCATACATTGATTGAACATACTAGAGGGATACCAGAGCTGTGCAAGAGAGTTTAGCACCAGTACAGACTTGATGAAAGGGAATGAGTACACCATTAATGTAGTGTTATGTAGCAAAAGCAAAAAACCTAGGGCACATAACCTAACATTAAAATTGGATGTGTTGGTCCAATATCTTGAATCCCAGTACAAATTGAAGTTGTCTAAATCTCATCCTTGAATTTGAGCCTATTAGTTTGTTCTTTTAAATAAACGACTTCTGTCATGAATCTTCAATGTAATTGGTATCCATGCTGTTTCTTCAATAAATAAGCAAATGAATTCAAAGTTTGAAGCTTGTCAGGCTGAAAGGAAAGGCTTGACCTGTACTGTGCTGTCATCCATCTCTCGCACTGGTCAGTCCTATATCACTGTTCCCCATACCTCTTTTATAGGCGCGACCAAATGCTTGTCCACTGGCAATCAGATTCTTGAGATACTCTGACCTCTTGACTTCTGATTGTACCTTCTGTCAGACTGAGTTGGAAAGAGAAATCCTGTCTACAGAATAGGTAGCAAGAAACCAGGCTGCTGTTAATGTAGTCAAATTTTCCCAGATGAATTATTTCAAGGATGAAGATGATTCATCTAGTGCACGAACATTCATAGTGCAAGTGGCAGTGCAGTCATAGACTTCTGCAGAGGGAGTTGCAGTGAAAAGTAAGGACTGCCAGGGGTTTTGTGTTGGAAACTAAACTACCAATGTATTTCAAAAAGACTTGATACAACCATTAATGAGATATTTTCTATTGCTGGTGGCTTAGTCGTCTATTCAGAACTAGTGGTTTCCTACTTTGTTGCCAGTCCCCTGAGCCACCTCCTCTTCTTTCTTTTAGCTGGAAATATGTTGGATTTCAGTATTAAAATCACCACTTGAAATTGTAAAGATCTAGTTCACAGCAGGAAAGAAGTCTGGAGGTAAGGCTACACTGCCCTGTGCATCTTTATTATACTGGTAATTCAGAGTTTGCAGAGTGATCTTAGAGCTCCTCTGTGCTTTGTCTGAGCACAAGGACAGTCTGTCAGCTTTAACTTTGAATCAGACTTTTAACATAAATTTCCAAACTGTGAATTATATAGTTTTAATTTCCTGTGCTTTAGCTAGATTTCAGTCATGTTCTGCCCCTGTGCAGTTTTAGATGGATATCGCGTTGTTCTGTTGCTTTCTTGAATTTTTGTGGCACATTGACGTGCCCTGTTAATCAGCTGCCACCCTCTATCAGAGAAGCAGCAGCTTTTTCGATTTATTCCAGTGTATGTGCAGTTAATACGGTCATCAAGAATGCAATATAAGTATAGGTGAATAATTTTTGACTGAGTGAAAGCTGGGTGAACTTATGTAGAGGGGATTAGAGAGTATTAAATTAGAGGAAATGGGCCAGGATGATCCGTTTAGGTATAAAGTTTCCAGATTAAACCATAGATATCTTTTAAAAAGCATAAGTGGGCATCGTGGTTTCAGAAGGGGAAAGAAGAAAACAGAGTCTTTTTTTAAAAAAAGAAAAAAGTTTTAACTTAAATACTGAATAAAATAAAAATTGAACAGTCTTAAAACTACCATGGTTAGAGAGCAGTTCGGTTACTCCTACCATGGGGCAGCATCCTCTGTCAGAAGAGCAAAGTAGGCAGCTGGCTGCAGTTACCATTTCACCTACCTAATTTTTATCCACAGTTGGATGAGAGTCAGTACTCGAGAGGAATTTGAGGCATGCTGTGAACACAAGACACTTGATTTTGGTCTCACAAGAATTAGTCATTTATCTGAAACCAAGTCCTTCTGTAGCCAATGCAAGTGTTATCTCTGTTGGGTTCTCCATAAATGTAATGGGAGTAATTACTTGCACTTCACAGGCTTACGGCAGTATTGATTAATTAATATGTGTTAATAGTGAGATATGACCATCAGTATTTGTTGCATGTTTCAAATTAGCTCTCGAAATATGGTTTCTGATAGAGCTAGACAGTTTCAACATCATCACTTGAAGTTTACCTGAATTATCAGGCCAGTGCTTATGAATCTGGCTGCCAGCAATGACAGAGCTGTATTGGGAGTGAGTAAAAGCCTGCTGAGTGGAAAGAAAATCAGTGTGAGTAATGCAGATGAAAAAGGACTAGATTGAAGCCTTGTCATCATTTAGGAAAAACAAACAACGGAAAGAAAAGAACGAGTATGTGAACAGTACCAAAGTCAGCACACATTGAAGAACAGACAGTGGAGTTACAGTGGCTTAGAAGGTCCCCACATGGCTGAGCTCTGTTAACTGTCCAGCTTCCTTGAAATGTGACACAAAACTCGTTAATTAAACTTGGGTGAAAGAGGACTCAGCTAATTTGCTCTTTTTGTCTTCAGTGACAAGTTATCGTGTAAATAGTTGGTGGCTATAGGAATGTTGAGTTGGCATTTTAAGCTTCCTTAACTGAAACAATGTCTTGTCTGAGCCCTTAGTTTTACTTTAAGATGAACCAGATGAGTTAATTCATGATTTCACAGGCAGATAAGCCACTCTGAAAGGGACCTAAAAGAAATCTTGTTGCATGTGTGCCTTTTATGCCTATTTCTGCTTTTGGCCAAATTGGCTTGTCCCCGTCTGTTGAGTTGGTAATAGCAATCATCAGAGCCTTCTCTAAGCTGATTCAGCTCACTAACCCAGGCAGAAACTAGCTAGGGTGGGTTGGTTGGTTGATTGATTTTCCTGATGGGTTAGTGAACTGAACTGGTCTGTGGAGATTTCCACCAAGTCCTGGACCTATTTAGAAGGGTAGAAGAGCAGGTCGTAGGTTGGTTCACCCTCTCTCATGCATCTGCAGTCTCAGGACTTGCATCTGTAGGTGTTCTCCTCCTGCTCTGAGCAGGACACAGAAAGATTTGGACTTGCCCTGGGAAGATAGACTGGGTCTTCTCTATGTCATGTAAGAGGAAATTTCCCTAGTTCAGGTCTGGGCTACACAAAGAGATGTTTGTTGCTTTAAGAACATTAATTAGGACATGTGTTTCTTTTTGAAATGCTTTTAAATAAAATAAAACTCTAATATGGAAGCAACTGTGGCCAAAAACCCCTGTCTTTGCCATTATGATTTGTATTCTTCAAGGAGCCGCTGTTATCTATTCCTGAGTTTTTCTGCAGGTATAATCTCTGTCTTCACTAAGACGGTGTGCCAGTAAAACTACACTTGCAAACTGTTTTCTAGTGGAAAAAAATTTGCTTTGTAGTTAAGCACAAAATTAGGGGTAGGTAAGTTTCAGTTATTTGCTGCATTTGGATTTTAGTTTTCTGAAGTAACAAATTTCTCTTTTAAGAAAGTGTGTTGATTGTTGCTGCCGGTGATAGATTCTGAGGGAGAATGAAGGTGCCTGAAATACTTCCAGAGCGTCTCTTTTTCTTTATGTGTGGAAGAGAGGTGGTGGAAATCCTGGTGATGGCATTCCTTGAAACTTGTCCTACGCCTTGTCATATCTGATGCTATAGATGGACCCTGTAGGATGGTGGTATGTGTGGCGAGAAAACGCTCAAAGTTTGGCCAGGCACTTGGTCTGCCTTCATACAGAATGCTTGTGTGACTTTGAACAAGTCATTTTGAATTGTCTGAAGGCCAGCCCCTTTCTGTGAGCTCTTGGTCTCAAAAATTAGTATAGTTTTACTTCCCTGCCTCACAGGGATATTCTATAGAAAGATGTGTTTCAAGTATTTAGATACTCCAGCTGGCAGAATTAATAGAGAAGAATTCTGAGATTCTGTCTGGGTTTTAATAAGTGATTGGTCAAATTCTGAAGTGAACTGGAGACAGAAGGCAGCAGTATACCTACCCCTGTAATCTTGACAGCTGAAAGTACGTGACTTGCCAGTCTGGTGTCTAGGTTAGGCCCACATCTCAGTTTTACTGCCTCTGTTTCTTCGTGTGGGTTAAAGACAGTATTTTGGTGTGTTGGTGAGATTTGTTTAGCTGTGTAACTCAAGCGCACAAGTCCTGCCCTGATTCTGTTACAGAGCTTATATATCCAAAGTTTAGTCTTTGGCTCCGGAATCCAAGAGCTCCTCCTTTGCTCTTGGCACAGGTTTGGGCTTTGGGCCCTGGTTCAGCAATCAGCTGCCACTACAGCTTTTCTCTCTGTTTGTTAGTCTTTCTGATCCCTCATTCTACCCTTGAATCCAGCCTCAGAATTTGGATTCCTGTCTCGTTGTTGTAGAATTGCAACAATAGTAGGAAACCCAGATTTTAGAAGTAGGGAAGGTTCGGGTTGGACAGATAAGGTGTCAGTGTGAATCAGTCTGTGCCTTGAGTAGAATTCAGAAGTATCTGGCTCCCAGCCCTGTGCTTAGTCAGAGGTCAGTCCCTTTTGTAAGACTTGGATTATGACAATAATTGGCATTTATATTATATTTTTGCCTTGTAAGATCGATCTCAAGTTCTGTCTCTCTTTCCCAAAGATGTAAAGCGGATACTGTAAACCAGAGTAAGTTACTCACTCTAGTGGAATCAGTAGCAAAACTGCTAGGGTTTGCTTACTGCCAGTGTGCCAGCATCCAGTAAAAAATATTTTATCAGCAGTGAATAATTTCAGAGACTGAGTGGAAGAACAACTTATGTAGAAGTAGTGAATCTGGGTTTGGGGCTCTTTAACTAGCTGAGAAACTTGAAGCCTCCTGAAGAAATGATATGTTGATATTCTGCTCT